GAAAATAATTTCATGAGGATACAGGGTCGGTATCTGTCTCATGGACACTGTGTTCAGTGATCGAACGTGTGAGGTCCTCAGACACACAAACACACACACACACACACAAACACACACACACACAAACACACAAATGGAAACACACACACACACACACACACACACACACACACACACAAAGGGCAAAACATTCCTCGGCCAGAACAGCTGAGATGCTTGTGGCTGCAGCAGTGATGGATTGTGGGAGACACAATCAGACGTTCATTCACACTGACCTTGAACAAGATGGATGAACACACTCCTTCCTCCATTAAGCCTTTCATTTCGCTTTGTTGACCCCCCCCCCACACACACACACCTTCAGCTAACATCTCATACTGCATCATAAATACTACATTTCTTGTTATAAGTACGTATAAACCTCCTGTAAATGGTAAATGCTGTATTTATATGATCGTTACAGTCGTTTTACAGTAACGTGTTGGTCAATGACACCAACACAAAAGAAAATGAACCCAGCTCGACTTTTACTTTTACTATATTTATGATATTTAACTCACATTGTCTGAGTGAGAGACTCCACCTCAGTAATCTCTGCTGTGTTCAGCTCAAACACACGACTTAAACAAACAACACAGCTCTGTAAACTCTGCGTGTGTTTCCAGAGTTCGTCTTGGTTATAAAGGACGATTGATTAAACAGGGAAATCTGCTTAATCCTCTTTAAGGAACCTGATCAGACGTTGTCGCAGTAAAGCGACGATGATGCAGACACGTTGACTGGCAGCTTCACTTCCTCTCATCAGAAACACTCAGCGACCTCGAACAGGACCAATAAATCATTTATGTTTAATCACAGACCAGAGGAAACTGCATTATAAACAGATTAACATGATGCAGGTTTACTTTTAGCTGCTTGTTGCACAGTCAGCATCGTGTCAGTCCATTTGCAAACAACACACATCTACAGACGTCTGAGAGCCGAAGATACAGCGTGACGGATTCACTGCAGCGTGACCTGTGCACATGAGTTCGTCTTTCAACTCTGTCAGTGTCTACTCTGGGTTTTTTTTTGGGAGAATCTTCAAAAGTTTCTTATCTGAGAGGTTGTGTAAAACAACAAACCCAAATAAATGATAAAAGCATTAAGACTGTGTTGGAAAGTACAAACAGCGAGTTCTGGGTCTCCCTCTGGATCCAGTGCATCGTTGTAAATCACCAACGGAAGAACTCAGGAGGCTTCAACTGGAAGTGAAGGAGTCAGAACTATTTTAATTATCTGTCCCAGCCGCCCGACGGAGAAAACTCATTTCGGCCGCTTTTGTTTCTTAACACTCCACAACAGCTAAAAGTATTATGACGATTTGTTTAGAGTCTGACATCTGCTCCTCTGGCGCCACAATACGAGATCAACACGTTCAGCTCTGCACGTAACGAAAGAACAAATGTTCCAACTGCTTTAGTTTTTATTTGACATCAGTGTAAAGGAATCATGGAAACAACAATCTCCTGTCGGCTGGTTTTCAGAGGTCAGAGTCACGTTAATGAGCTTTTATACTGACACTTTATTCTAGTTAATCATAGTGTTGATGCCTGGTGCTAATTAAAACTGAGAGAAAAACTGTCCAGAGTTCCACCTGGCCTCTTGACTTCAAGCTTTTATGGGCGCTACACTACAACACTACCTTTTCTCTGGATGAGGACGTTCTCAATTAGCTGAAGAGATTCAATCTGCACATTTAAATCCAATTTTCAAGGATGTGAATATTAAAAAAAACCTATTCCCATTAATCACACCTTGTAGATTTGTCCAACTTAAAGAGCAAAGCGGTAAATGAACTCGTTCAAGCGTCTCAGATGAGGAAATGCTGCTGTAGAGATTATGTTTGGTGTTTAGGAGAGAAACAAGGTGAAGGGGAGGTTTGTGACATCCAGCAGAACCAGAGAGTGGAACCACGACAAGCGTTTTTAATGTTTCACACAAACAAATCAACAGATCTCATGTGCAGGAAGAAAAATTGAAGCTTCCATGTTTGTGACACTGACACCACCAGTGTGTTACTGCGTTCACTCGCTCTCACCTGCGATGTGATGACCTCTATAGACGCCATGAAGCGGTCGGCGATGATGGACACCCCCAGGAACATGTACATGAGCGACACAAAGTAGACCACAGCTCTGGCCACCTGGTCGCCGAGCCCCGGCCGGTTGGGCTGCCAGACGGGGAGCAGGATGCCGGGCCTGCACACCGTCGCCTCCTCACACTTCTCTTTTCTGCTGGACGTGGTTCTGTTACCATAGGGCATGGAGGACGGAGGTGAAGAGGGGAACATGGAGGGCGAGACCGATCTCAGGCTGGGGTCGCCGCTGGGCTCGGTGCGCTCGGACTCCGGCTGACAGGGAGGCAGCTGCTGGAGGAAGAGGAGGAGGAGGAGGAGGAGGAAGGGGGTGGGTGAGCCGAAGAGAGACATGGCGGCATGCGGTTCCCACGAGAAGCAGCGAGGCAGAGGAAGATGGGTTTAGGCTGAGGAAGAGGGAGGTGGGAGTAGTTCACCTGCAGGGAGAGAGGGAGAGAAAGAGAGGGAGGGAGGGAGAGAGAGAGTGAGAGGGAGAGGGAGGGAGGGAGAGAAGAAAGCAAATGAGTCTGTGACAAAGTGAAAACACTTCAGACGAGATTCTGTCAAAGAATTCAGTTTGTTTTGTTGAAGAGACGAAGAGAAGCAAAGATCTGTGACGGTGGATTTTAGAGGATTAGTTTTTACAAACAGGAGATGGATGAAGGATGACGTCTGCTCGGCCTCCTGATGTAAATCCAGACTACCGTCCTCAAATAAGATTCAAAAAAACCTCACTGTCTTTTTGAAAAGAGGCAAAAATACACAATCAAGAACATCAAACACTCTTCTTTTGATTTTTCAATGACAAATCCTTTCAAGAAGCCTGTTATCCAGAGACACGTGTGGACGAAACCTCGTCTTCACTGCTCATTTGACACGAGACAACGTCCACTGGTCCATGAATATTACGCAGAAGTCAAGTGGGTCAAACCTTCAGTTTGATCAAATAAGAAATCTGTTTATAAAGTTTGTGAAAAGTGTGATTCACAGCAGAGAACCTGGCTCATTACTCACTGTGAGTCACCGATAAACAGGAAAACAAAAGAGGAGGTGAACAGGTGGAGAGAGGAAGGTCAGGAGAGAGGGATGAAGAGGAAGGACAGATGGAGATGGAGAGACTGAGGGGAGATACAAAGAAGAGAAGGTATGGGGTTATTTTAATGATGGGAAATTTAGGTTCGTGAGAATTTTCTGTCTTTAATTCAGCTTTTGAAAAATGTCTCTCAGAACAGGCAATAAAAACAACATGATCCATACCTGAAGAAAAGAAGGATGAGAACGAGGGAGGAAGAAACACCAGAGAGCACAAGAGGTAGAAACAAGAAGCTGGTGGAGGAATAGACGGATGAGAGGAAAGAAAAAGAAAGAAGGAGAGAGAGGCAGAGAGATAACGATGGGAGGATTGTGTCAGAGAGAGAAAGGACGAGGAAAACATGTTGAGTCACAGTGATGCCTCAGGGAAGAAGAGGCTGACAACACAAGGTTTGAGATTGTTTATGTCATTCTGCTTATTTCATTCAAACCTGAGGCTTAATACACACACACACACACACACACACGCACACACACACACTGACCCACGCACACACACACACACACACACACACACAGTTGTATATTTGTTTAAAATACATTTTGTTGATATTTTGGCTTCTTGTTTTTGCATTTGGCAACAGGACCATGTGTGTGTGTGTGTGTGTGTGTGTGTGTGTGTGTGTGTGTGCCAAATGGTGAGTGTTAGACCTCAGTGTGAAACCAAAGGATGGACAGATGGAATGAACCCTGTTTCCGTCATTATGAGCACCGGCCCCTAATCTTCCACCTCTCTCCTCCTTCCTCTCGTTTCATCTCTCTCTCTCTCTCTCCCTCTCTCTCTCTCTCCCTCTCTCTCTCTCCATCTGCCCGTTCGAGAGGAAGCACCTGCTAATATAAACGTTACAAAACTCCGTCATTTCACTTATGAACACGACATAAATGATTTTAGAAGAACTGTTTTCTTCATTCCGGTGTTTATCTTTAACCTTTAAGGATTTAGCGGTGGATGATATTCTTCCTGTGAAGACGACACTGGAGGAATATTCCCCCTGCAGAGTGAAATAAGTTCATCATGTTTGTTCACAGAGTTTGTTCATGTGTGAACTAACTGTAGATCCATCAAAACAAACCTGACCTGCTGATTAGCTTTGACCTTTGACAGTAAACCTGCCAGTGAGAATGAATAACTGGACGAAACGAAAGCCTTCAGGGGATTCATTTGTTTTCATGCCAGAATCTTACTTTTACAAGTTTCACTAAATAAATAAACAGCTGTAACGTATTAAAACCTCCTGATTCACACAGTAAACCAAGCTCGACCTTTTCAAACGTCTCCTCTGATCAACCCGAACGCTCGCGTGGAGACAGCAGCAGCTTTTCCTTCAGTATGAATCTGTGTAACGACACAACACGTGTATTCTCCCTGTTAATTTCTGTGTTTTCACTGCGGCCTGAACCCAAACACAACAGGAATGAAACGATGAAATCGTGTCTGTTCTGAAAAAAGCTTGAGACGCGTCGCTCCGGGCTGCTGTCGTCCTATTGGACCGTCTCATATTAGACTCTAATTATCAGCTGAGAGGCTCAACAGGGGCTGAAGTGAACTACAAAACTTACACTGTAAATTATTCACACACATATAAACAGGCACTTTTTCCTCCTCTCATCATGAGTCCAGTGTCCCTCACTGGAGGGATCCACCTCTTTTTTAAAGGTTTGTGTCACTTGTTTTTATTTTGTGTGTTAAAGTTAGTTCTGTGTCTCTGTTGTCTCTTTAAGTCACTTTGTCAACGTTTTATTCACAGACATTAGTGCGTCTTCATGGCTGTGATCCAGCTCTGGGGACATTCTGCGTTTTAAGGGCCTTTTTGTAATTGTTTCTAAATCTCCTTGCTTCAACAACGGTGGATGCATCTGATGCTTCGTGCATCATAGCGTCAATAACCACTCCTGCTCCAGACATACAAGCTTCTGCGCTAATGTGCCACACTCCAGCATTGATTCCGCTTCCCCTCCTGTGAACGACCTGTTTCAGCCTCTTGCTTCACGCCTCAGTCGAGCCGGGAGCTCCTCAGATTGTGAAGAACGCAAAGTGAGGACGAGCCGGAATGAGGTTGAAGACTGATGGACTCCACAGTGACTCTCACACTCACCAGCGGAACTGCTTTACCTCCAGATCCTTCTGATTTATTCCCTTTTTAAAAAGCACCATTTGGAAGCAGTTATTAATTTCACTGACGAAGGAGGCGTGTGAAAGAGTTACATCATCAAACAAGAGTTAATCCAGCAGGACACAGATGTGATGCATTCATGTTGTGACTCAGTATCTACGAGTGTGAACTCACGCTGCTGCTGCTGCTGCTAACATGCACATTATTTAGTTTGTGAACACGTCTGCAGGTTCGAATGGCAGATATTGAATATAAAATAATCCTAGCAATGTTTTCACTAGTGTGTCTCATCTAAATTGTACAAATAGTTGTTTTCTTCACCCTATAAATACTTTATATGTAAATACTTTATATGTTAATACTTTATATGTAAATACTTTATATGCTAATACTTTATATTAACATGAGGAGCGGGTCCTCTCCACGGAGTCCGCCATGTTTTTTTACAGTAGCCCAAACTGGAAAAACTAAACCTTTTGAGTTTTAAAGCTGCCACAGGTTTTCTCATGTTTGGAGGGGGAGGGGGCGGTGAGGAGTATTCAGCTGCAGCGTGACACTTCACCACTAGAGGTCCTTAAATCCGACACAGTGAACCTTTAAGAAATAGTCCTGTAGATTTGAAAATGTATCCATAGCAACTCCTTGTATTAGCCTTTAGCAATATAATGAATATAATCCATTGACAGACCGTGATGTCTGGAGCTCAGCAGCTCCTCAGGCGACCCTCACGTCAGTCTCAGACATGTCCTGCCTGCACCAGCAGCTGCGCTCCTGAAGCAGTGAATGGTGAGGCTACCTCAAATTCCAGCAGCCTCGTTTCCTCACCGGTGACACTTCAGCTTTTAACATTGAATCGAACATTCTGCACAAAATTAATTATTAAAAACACTATCAGATGACATCTTCTGAAGTTTTTCGAGACTTAGCTCTTAGATCTCTACGATCACAACTGCAGCGGCGGCCAGACAGTGACAGCAGCGTTGAGCATTCAACCGAGAGATGTAGAGGATGGATGGACTGAGTGAGAAAAAGAGAGGGTGCAAGGAGTGATGGCAGAATAAAAGCATGAAAGACAGGAAATGATCAGAGTGAAGGAATGTAGGAGGATAAAGCAAAGGATTGAAAAAGCAGCAGGAACAACAGAAAGAGAAAAAGAGTGATGACAGGCGGAGGAGCTGAGGGGTAAATAAAAACTAATTAAGAAGAGGAATTATGGGTGTGGGAGGAAGGGAGGACAAAAAAAAAAAAAGGAGGGATGAAGGAGCAGCGTGGGCCGAGGTCCTAAACGTGTTAATATCGTCATTTGGAGAACAGGCCTGGCGTGTTGCCACGGCAACCAGGGGAGAGGTTTGGCGGGGTAATCAATCACCATGGGGGGTGTTGAGGTGGGGGGAGGGCGAGAGAGGGAGAGGGAAAGAGAGAGAGAACTGAACTAAACCCACACACACACACACACACTTGCAGAAACCCTTCATTGAACTTTTTGCAAATGTATTAAAAACTGAAATCTCTTTTTTATTTAAGTATTCGGAGACGTAACTCAGAGATTTTGTCGAAGTCGCCTCGGCAGCAGTTCAGCATCAACTCTTCTCGGAAGAGTCCGACCTGGATTTGTTTTGATCCCGCTCTCAGGCTCCGTCAGATTGGATGTGAAGTGTCTGTGGACTGCCACCGTCAGGTCTGGTGTTATGATGAGCAGCTCAGCTCAAAGAGTCCAATTCAAACTTGTTCTCAATCTCTCGGAGTCTTAACTCTGGAGAACTCTTTGGTTTCACTCAAAAAAGTTTCTCAAACGTTCTCTGGCCCCTTTTCAGAGGTCGAAAAGTTCAGTCCAACCCCAACACACAACTCTGAGCAGCCGCAGACATCGTTTCTGTCCGCCGACATCTTGTGCTATCGATGTTATTTGGAGTCAGAGTGTGTTGCAGCCGTAGTAGCGAGGTCCTGCAGATACACGTGCTCGACCAATCGTTACTCAGCTGTCAATCCTGATGTTGCAGAGACACAACTGGTCCATGTTCTTAGGCTAAATTAGGAAACATAAGATGAACAACTGCACACACACTGTCACATCTGCTGTTTCATCTGGTCTCGTCCTCCCTCTCTTATCTCGGTGATTCCTGTATCTGTGATCTCTCCTCTCCCATCATGCATGTTCCAGTCAGTGCCTTCATTAGCCTGTAATCCCACTGTCATCAAACTGAGCTTTCAACAGACCTGCTCTTATTAGT